TGTAAAACCAAATTTTGAATTTCGAAAATCAAAGTTTCAACAAAAATGAGACCTGCACCATCCGCATAAATGTTCTTCATACTATCGAACACCAAAATTTAATTAGAAACGTTGGAGCTTTTTAATTTAACGTCTCAAGGGCTTAATGTAAAGGAAAAATAGTAGCTAAAATTTCAAACGTGTAAACATTCATTCATTTTTGATATTTATTGAAAACAAATTGTATTACATAACTAGTATGAAAAGTATTACGTAACTTTTACTAAAGGCGTGCTGTTTGAGCAGTTTCTTAATTTAGCAGTTTCTTCTTGACCACATTTAATATTGAGCGTCTGCAATAGTTCAGAAGCCACATCGTTGCCTTCGTAGCACTGCTGACGGAGACGTCCTAGGGTTTAAGAACCGACGGAGGCTGTATACCTGGATTGAATTCAACTGAAGGAGAATTGTAGCGGCTGTCAGCTCGGATCGGTAGTTTATGTGGTTTCTTCGATCAACATCTGACGAACGCCGCACTGCCTTAGGAAATTACTTTCTCTAACGCTTGGTGTAGTCAGAATCCAATTGATTTTTTACTCGTCTGTGGCCAACGCTCGCGCCTAAACAAGGGTTGTCCAACTGGCAGGCCGCATGCGGCCCTCGGGGCCATTCATTGTGGCCAGCGAAAGGTTATTAATACTCGCGCAAACTTTTCTTGAACGATGACCTTCCTTCCCCCTCTCTGGCACAATAAACAGATGAAGGCAAAAGCTCGCCGTGAGCACTGATGACAACATTCCAAACACATCTTACAGGCGCGAAATAGAAACAATTTTCTTTTGAAGATGAGAAACTTATCGGTTATTTTCTCCAAAAATCTAAAGAAATGACAGAAGAAGGTAAAGATCTATCACAGGAGATACCTCGAACTCCTGATAAAGTTAGAACGCAAATTATTGGGAAAGTTACGAAGGCGTGACTGATTCTCCAGAGATTGGCATTGCTTCATAAAATATCGTGGAGGATTTCTTAACTAATACCCCCACTCTACCCGCATTTTTTCAATCCATCGTACAAGAAAAGTTGCGCGAGTAATACTCGAATCGTGAAAGTCCCTTGCACCCACGTCGGACGAGAACATTGCGGGCCTAGCGCACGCGCCCTAACGGCGTCAACGCCTCCTTAATGTAACAAAAGGCGAAGTTTAGATTTACTGATTTTTTTTCTAGTTAATTCAGAAATTCATAATCATCCCAATGTGCTTCACTACGTTATGTACGGTAGGGACTGATATCACGCATGGTTCCATTGCCCCCAGTTTCTGAGCAGCAGGGCAAACTTCCGAGATCAACATCGATTTTCTCTGAAATTGATATTCCTCTGTCGTCAAACCGCGCCTGCACGAGCTACCTTGCCCGTTTGGGGGACCCGGCGCATCTACGAGAACGGCAACTTCCCCTGACTCCGCTCTCAATTCCCCTCCAAATCCAGAAAGGGGTGTACACGCAAGCTGATGCGGCACGAAGCCTCAGTAGTGGCTTCTTACGAAAATATGTTTGCCACATTTTTTCCATCACGTGACCGAGAATAGTATTGTTTACGTTCTTTACTACAAATTACTATTTAATGTTTATTTTCTTATTAAATTCTCCCTTCTATAAACATCTTTGCTAAGTGGCCGGAATACATTTGATTGGCGAATTCTGGCCTTGTTTTCGTTTTGTGTTGTTTTGAATTAAATCATTCAGTTATTTATTGTATTTAGCAATAAAGTGAAATAAATTAACAAGTCTCTATAAGTTAACTATTCTCGTTTACGGACGCTTCAGCGCTTTTAACAGACAAAAATGTTTGTCTATTAAAGCTACTAACCTGAATGTAGTACGTTCATGATTTTATATTACTCTTAAGTAAACAGGATTACAGTATCAAGATACTTTTGATTCAATTTTCTTTTTAAATTTTACGCTCAATTGAGAATTCGACATCGGACTGATGTATTATTTCATTTTAATGGATACTTTTTTTTTGCTTTAAGGAGAAAATGAGAATTTATATAGCGAAATTTGTGACAACTGTCAAGTTAGACTGCCATGGGACACGTACCCAGTGACGTACCGCCATTCCGTAGCATTTGTACAACTCTTTCTTTTAAATCTCGCGCTAATTTCTCAAGACGCGCTATCCGCCAGCTCCAGTAAGCTTGTTACCTTGACACGCCTGATGTAAAGGAACTCGAGGCCTTCTGAGTTTCAAACGGACATTTTGATTTTGGGGAGAGGTAATTTTCGAAATCACTCAACGTTTTCAAAATTCACATTTTCGTTGAAACCAGTTTCCACAATTGCAAAAGTTATTTATTTTCTGGGTCTTCCCATCTTTACAATATTGAAGATAAGAGGTTTTTCCTAAATGAAATATTCTCTGAAGACAGAACTTGAAATAAGGTCAAGTAAATTTTTTTCGAAAATGTGAGTAGTTTTTGTGTTACTTTGCACGGCATAATGGAATTTTTAATATTTTTCTAAAATACCTGTTCCATTTTCTAAAAACAATGTCTCCTCATATGTATCAAAAAACTATACAAAAACTGGTGCTTGTCCACATTTTCAGAAAACTCTCTGTATTTTCGAAATTGCAAAAGATATCATTGCAAAGGTACAATATAGAAGATACCGATTTTTGTTTTAATGAAAGTCAGTTTTAAAAAGTCTGTAAATTAAAAAAAAATGTTGATTAAAAAAGGGTGGGTGAATATGTACCAACGACTGGAATTCTCGTTTCCGACAATTCGTGAAATTATAAGTGATGTCATATCCTACTGAAAGTTGATCCCGGCCACTTGGATTATGTAACGAGAAATGGAGGTTATCGTAAGGGCTCCGTGGGCAGAAACTCCTTGGCATCGCGACCGAATCAGTAGTTGCGAAGAGGGGTCGCTTGACGGCGACTTACTGTTCACACGAGAGCCAAAGAATTTGTCAATAAAGTGTTTACGTTTAAGTTTAGTGTTAAAGTTTATAAGTTTCACGTCAGTTGGTCAATGACTTCTAAAATATGATCCAGACATGTGACCGAAGATGATTCTATTGTGACCTGCGCTTTGGTATCATTCACAAACTAAATATGATATAAATGTATGTATTTATTTATAAAAATAAAAGAACAAACGCTTTTGGTCATTTATTTATACTTTATATATCTCCCATCCTTTAAACTAAAAATATAATCAACACTTAAATACTCGATCCTTTTCTTTCGAAAATACTAGTCCCTCTGACCGGGAGATCCCACGTTCGAATCCCGAGGGTGACAGGATTTTCGACACTAGCTTGTTAGCTAGGTCGAATTCAGTCGCTGTCTGGAGGACAATTCTAGAGGCCGGCTGCTCTAATCGACAGTTTTCCGTGGTTTCTCCGATCAACGCCATGCGAATGCCGGAGCAATACCCTAACAAACGGGCCACGGACCGTGCGCGATCTTCCCTTCCTCTTCCTTGTCCTATTTTCACCCCTTACACACACACACTTACACTAACATGCACTACACTACGACACATGCCGGGAGACCCGTCCGGAGCTTAAAGCTTGTCACGGCTGGGACGGTGCCCCTCTGGTGGGAGATACCTGGTTGGGGAAACCCCGCTAGCCGACGGTAGGTCGGCGCCGGATTTCGCCATACAGCGGGGGAAAGATCACTACCACCTCCCGAGCAAAAACGTGCATTACACTCACGGGACTAATGACCCTAGTAGTTGACGTGCCCGGAATCACTTAACAATCGAAAAAATACAGGGAAATTAACGCAAAATTCGTTACCCCTTTTCGCGATATAAAGCAAAAACAAAATTCATGCAAAATTGGAAAACAAAACTAAAATACAACAACGAGAAAAAAATCATGCCTCTAATCATGGATATTTGGTGTGACATTATTCTTTTTTAATGTGTTCATTCGCGTGATTCGTGGAATGTTTTGCTTTAGGGTATGTCTTTCTTCATCTCATTTCAAAAATGGAATATTTTCATTTCACAAAAAGAAGTGGAGTAGATTGTGAGATGAAGACAATGGATCGATTATTAATTTTGAAAGCTGTATCTTTCAATTATGGTGGCCTAGAATAAAGTGGACCAGCGTTTTGGAAGAAAAAAATCATAATTTAATCAATTTCAGAGATAGCGTTAGTTTAAAATGTACTCATAAGCCTAGGACATTTCTTGACCTTATTTTATTGACCTCATTTTACATTCCAAAAATTAAGTTTGAAATATTGATACTTCGCAGTACGTTCCGTTTCGATCGCTTACATAGCCTTTTCTACGCCACAAGTACTTTTGTTACAGGACAATCGCTTTCGGAGATCGTTTCAGAAAGAAATCCAGTTTTGTATTCACACGTAAAAATAGTGATGATCGTGATGGAAAGACCATGGTGATGATGCAATTAGTATGTAATGGTAAACGGTTTTTGAAACAGCAATTAAAAAAAAAATCCCCGACGTCGTTCGTTTGAGAATTTTCAAGAGCAATACTTTGAAATAACTTTAATCAGGAGTGATAAACGTTTTTTTTTTTTGTATACTATGACTATAAAAATTATTGAAATGTAAACTTAATATTCAAGGTTCGGAATTAAGCTTCCTTGAAATATGACCTAGCGTTATACTATAGTACACTACATGTTTTTGTTCACTCCTGCTGACAGCTGCAAATTATTAGATAAAATTATTGACATTTTGATGTACTCGTATTACTTACTGTCTGTCCTTTAAGAACTGTTTTGTATACTGTTGACATCTTCCTAATGGTCTTATGACTTCAAACGCGACAAATACTACTACGATAGCCATGAATCATACTGCACACAAAAAGGCAATAAATTACGAGTATATAGTGAGTTCTGATGAAATTTCTATTTTATGAACCTCTAAAAGGGACATTTACCTTCATAATAATGTCATGCATATAACACTAGTAATGCACCTTTCGCAAACCTACTGTATTTCTGCACAGTGAAGGATACCTCGAGAATCTGACTTCGTCGTGGTATGCTCCCTCCAGCCGTTTTCAAACGTGGATTCACTTCCAACGTGGTGCCACCGTGCAACTGCCGCGTGTCTGCGGCCCACGAAGCGACATCTAGCGGAGAAGGTCGACAATTCGTTCGCGAGCGCGTTGAAAAATGCTTCACGGATGTGACTGGAGCACGATGGGGATTGTGACTGATGTCACGGAGCTCGGAGCGCAACCGACAAAAGCTCTCACGAAATAAAGCCAGGGCGCCGCGCGACTCACAGCTCTACAACAGCAGAGAAACATAAATAACGAGTTGCGTAATACGGGACGTTTAGATTGCATAAGTCAAATATATCACTGCTACCAGGTCCAGATTACAGTACACATAGGTTTCCAGTAGAGTGCTTTTTTCATACAGCCTAAAACAAAGAAACAACAACATCAAAGAACTCAAACAGTTAGGAGCAGAGACCCGACATCGTAACCTGACGAGGAATAGCTGATACTGTGTAACAAATTGGTATCAGATAACAAATGGGAAGTTTCACAAGCTTGTGAGAACCAAGGTTTGAATTCCATTATGTCAGGCCTAAACGTCTATTTTCACAATACCTTCTAACCTAACCAAGGGTAGACTTCCGCCTAGATAGCTGACCAGAAACCAACCTTAGAGATAAACCCCGATGACAGTAATAAAATATAATAGGGTCCCCAATACGTTTACAAACAAAACATTTTAGTTCATAAATGTGGACGGCAATTTTAAACCATTTTCCTACTTGTAGACCTTTTTAAATGTATTTTAATTCATATTTTAAAATATTTGGATAACTGGGATATTAATTGTACATAAGTAAAAATTATGAAATATAACAATCGAACAAATAATAATCTTGCTTGCACTTTTAGAGATTGGCAGGTTGGTGTGCGGAGGGAACTCGTCTCTTGCACACCAACACGCCCGCGCGTCGACGGAAAAGAAATTCGATATCGGGGGCTGCATTATCTCCCAAGACGTGCGCATGTCGGGCCTCCCCCGACACGTGCAACGCTTTTGTCCATTATTAAAAGAGAGCAGCCTCCATCTTTTGATTGCCTATGGGCCCTCGGTCTCGTTGTCCGGCCTTGAAGCTAACCACTCCTTAATCCAACGGCTTAGGTGTCTCAAAGATGTCACTGCTGTACTTCGGACCCGGAGGTCTGGGGGGTCGGGCTGGAGCCTCACGGTGGCAGGGTTTACGACACTAGCTAGATATCAACCAGCTCCCAACAAGAATAAAAAATAGATATCCATTAGATTCATTCCTCAGCATATTTTCAGAAGTCAATTAATCACATAGGTGCTCTGTGAGTTTCCTATTCATGTGTAGTTAGATTTAGTTGTAAGATTAGCATTTAAGTTAAATATAAGTCATAAGAAATACATATGATGTAGTATAAATAATACTGAACTATGTATATTCGTTCACTAATAAAGATTTATTATTTTAAAAAAAACTAGCTAGATATCAAGATCGATTTCAGCTGCTATTCTGAGGAGAAGGGGGACAATACCTAGCTGGTGGGAGATGCCTGGTTAGGGAAAACCCAGCTTGCCCACGTGTAGGACGGCGCCGAATCTCGTCAAACAGCTGGGGAAAATCACCGTCACATCCCGCGGCTCAACGTTGACTACACTATCGGGATTAATGACCGTAGAAATTGACGCGCCCCGAATCACTAACCAATAAATCCATCAGTTGAGCTTCTTGACCCAGTTCCGAACAAGCGACGATGCTCTGGTCTTCGAGATTCACATGACAAATAAAAATGGGAAACTTTTCCTAATCCTCCCCTCCCCTCGAATCAGCAATCTCCGGACTACGCGAACATGCAACCCACCAACGCTCAGTAATATTTATTTATTGAAGGTAGGTGTACGTGACGTGACCGTGACATTAGGATTAGCATTTTTCATGTTGAATCCGTTTTTACACCCAGGGTTGGTAGCCCTGGTGGATAACGTGAAACGATGATGGCTGAAATGGACAATCATAAACATTCAGAGACACGAGATAGAGATTTTTCTTTCAATTCTTTTTCTTCGTGGTCAGTTCTTTCATTGTCATGAATATAATTTTGAAAATTTTAGTAGTTTTCGTACAATATTACAAAAAGAAGATTTTCTCAAACACTACTCTAATTTTTTTCTTTAAATTTTGGTAGGGTAGTGATAAATGTACTCTATAAGATGTATAAGGTACTCTAAACTTTCTCTACGTAAGTAATATTTATTTATTTCAAAAACATTTAAAAACTGTGTGAAGTGCTATGAGAGAAGTAAATTTGAAGTTTCATTTATGTCCAGAAGTAAAACTAGGGGCCATCTCAGCATTTGCTAGAGGATCAGGAAAACTGGACGAAAACCAGATCCAGATGGGAGTCATTGACCCAGAAGCTGGAGTACAACACTTGTTACAGGTTCTTTAGAATTATACAATCCAAATTATGTATAATACATTAAATATCATTGTTAAAATTAATATTACATTCCTTTTAGATGATCGGTATAGTCTCTAATTGTATAGGAAGAGTTGTGCTGTATAAAATATTTTACTTGGGACTTAAACTTTTGTATCGAATTTAATCGTCTAATGCCATTTGGCAAGGTGTAAAATAATGTACATGTATTATATGTGAATTTTTTAGGGATCTGTTGATACTTTCACCTGATGAATATGATTACTACGTCGAGTGTTGTAGTTATAGACAACGGCGTTTAATGAAAATATATACCCGCTCTTAAGTAAGTCATTTTTGACAAAAAACACTGATTCATATATGAAGAGACATGGTAATGGTAAAATACCTAGATTAATAAAGAAAGGCTTACAAGAATCACGTGGGTGGAATTTGCTTATTATTAACATGCGAGAAAGTAACTAGATGAGTTACATATTTACACACACAGATTTCTCGCATGAAACCTCTTTTATAAAATTCTTCAAATCCAATTTCCGTTCTCCTATTACGTAAGGTGACCAATGTTTTTACAATGAAAAGGACGATAAATTAAGAAAAAGTACAACACAAATGAACACAACATAAATGAAACAAGTTAATTCCAACAAAAATATATAATTATACTTGCATTTCTTTTAATTAAACGAGTATTTTTCCACTGAATTAATAGTTTGTCTATACATTATTTTCTAACAATATGTTGGAAATTGTGGAGTAAGACTAAATCTCTCATACTAGATTTGACGGTAAGTACTGCAGCTAGCGTAACAATATACAATTTTGTTTTCTTATTTGATTAACTAGATTAGCGGAAAGGATGACACTTTTCGAGGAAGGGCAGAATCGACAAAAGGATTGTCCTCCCTGAAGAAGAAAGGTTGGTCATATTATATTAGGGGACTAATATATTTTACGTATTTTTTGATAAAACACAATTTCCTTAATATAAATATTACATGAATGTAAACCTAACCGTTATTTTTAACTAATGTGTTGTACATATTACGTTCTATAGCATTTTCTGTAGTTAGCTAATTTTGAGAAAATTGTTAATTATTTTAAGTAGTTTAAAAAGAATGGTGGGGATTCCGAAGCTCACGAAAACGTGCATAATTTGTACATCTCCCCCAAAGTCATACATTGATGTAAAATACATTTCCGAAGCTGTTTACTGTTTTGGGATGTTAAATACATTTCCGAAGCTTAATATGCAGCAAAAACGGAAGAGAGCTCTGAATTCTCTAACAAAACATGTGCATTTTTATTCACTATAAGAATGTACACAACGATCTATATTTTAGGTAGGCTATATATGACAAAAGTACAATGCGTCCATACAGCCTAATAAATTAAACAAATTGATGATAAATTTATTAGAAATTATAGATTAGATATTATTTAGAAAAGCTAGAGGACGCAGCTCCTTCGGTTTCTCCCTGGGAATAAACTATTCCAAAAAATTGACGGAATCAAATGAGCTCCTTAAGAGTAATATTTATGTTATCATTTATCAATACGTACGTAAGCGTAAATTATTTAATTTCCATATTAGTCAGTTTCGTTTGCCATGCGTATCTTATTTACCCTTTGATCTGCCCAATAACATCATTCACAATAAAAAACAACAACAAAGTACGCATAAAATGATATTACAAGTCTAAAGCCTCTGAATGATTGAAACGATCAAAACAAGTGCTGGTAGGTGTAAAATTTAAAAATAGAACGATGACCGTATTTGTTATTGTAAACGTAACAATGTATATGTGTTCTGCAATTAATATTACGTTATACAGAACTTTTTTAAAGATTAAAAAACGACAAAATAAAAGAGAATTACTACTTACTGAAAAGGAATGCGGAAACTGATATTGTGGGGGAGGCCCGTTTCTAAGTGGATGTTTACATAGTATATTCACGAAACAACTGGACTAATATTTCAAAAAAATATTTTTTTCTACAATTTCGTCCAGGGACGTTTCTTCGTCTCTTCAACACACGAAACCACGCATCATCCTCGAAATGCGCCACAATTTTAATTTCGTACGAACTCGATAGAACGTCATTCACAAAGACGCAGAGAACGCGTAGAACTTCGATGCTACTGAAACGAATGGAAAAGTTAACGTGATTACCTTGGGGCCACTTGTTATCAACAAGCTGTTCAAGACCGCTTACCGATCAAAGTAACTCTTTCAAGTGATTATTATTTCTGTTGACAAACGAAAGAAAGTTGTTAAAAATTATTTCTGCGATAACTTTATTTTATGAACGTTTCGTGAAATGCTTATTTTTAACCCGCGCGTATTTTTAGAAGTAATCCGTCGTCTCCTGATTTCGTCACATTGCTGGGAGCGCGCGTCGTCACGTGAACGCCAAGGGTTTCCTAATTCTCTTCTCTCTCTCTCTTCGCGGTACAATTGCGGAACAGTATTAATATTGGTCAAAATATTTGCATTAATGTTGTTTATAGAAAATACACAGCACAAAAGTGTACTAATATTAAAAACTCTTTATATTCAATGAATGTTTGAATAATAGCATTTGAAATCTGAACCAATATCAAGCAGTTACGGCCTATTTGGCCGTTCTTGGTCAACCTTGAAAAATTGTCCTGTTTCGATTAGACTGGTACGGACTGAATCTTTTCTCCAACATTACGATTTTTTTTGTTTGCTTTTTTCCAGAAAAAATTGGTCACATTATTGTATGACTTTTCGAAGCTAGACCCGCAAATAAAACGCCTAATCTGAGGTTAAAGATCCAGTTTAGAAAGAAAAATCCTAAATTTCCTCAAAAGAAGTGTTATAATCCGTATAAACCTAGGGAATTCAGTGGTTTTAAATAGTTAAAACCATATAGTAGGTTTTGTGAAAATTCTGTATTTTCAGTCAGAAGAAAATTTTTAATTCGGTTCTAATCGCGAATTTTACAACTGAACAGAAAGCATCACAAACATCTGATTTCAGGATTCTGGATTCTCCAGAAATACTCATAACTTTCAGTCTTGAACAATTTTGCCCCATTGAAATAATTGGAATTCAAAACAATACTTCACCCCAAGCTCTCTCTTACAGCAGTACTTAAATTATCACTTATTCAATAATTTAAGTTTCTCTGACCACTATCTTTTAATTTTATTTTCTCTGGTAAGCTCGAAGAGCTAAACAGAAAAGAAGTTATTATAATTTACAAATAGAAAACTCATTTTGAACCAATGTCAACATACAGTGCGAGGGCAGAGCTTGAGGGCTTTAGATGCACTGAGCCACTATTTCCACCCAGCTTTGCAACCTACTTCAAGCAAGCTTCCCCGAAGATGTTCGACCTTGGTTGTTATGGTTGTTACGACCTTACTGCCAACCTTATTTCCATGAGCCTAAGCTGAGAGGCTGTGGTACGAACCTGAGAATAATGTAGGAAGTACCCGCACACATTAGTTAGTTAGTTTAACTATAATAGACAAATAAAAAAAATAGAGTAGGAGTCCATCAACTTGTAAGCACACAAAATCCATGCTTTTAGGTTATAGATGTTCCTTGTAGAGTGGAAACTGCCATAGATGAGTCTACTTGGATTGCAGGAGAAAGTTACCAGTGCACATATGCAATGATCTGTAAAGTTGACATTCAACTAGTACATAAAATTATGTTGACTTATTTGAACAAAAAAGTTCCTATCAAACCTACACAATCTGAAAATAATTCAAATTCAAATTTCAAATTATGTCTGTATCTTGATGAACATGGTTGGAAGAGAAAGACAAAGAAGAAAAAAGAAGTAAACAAGACTGCACAACTAGATGAGCCATCTTGATTATAATAAATTATATTGCACTACATCATGAAAATTAATTTATTACAATTTACAAAATCCTTACATATAAAACAACTTTTTTAAATGAGTCTTAACGTGAATCTTAGATTCTTTTAAACACTTGAGTCTTGATTTATATTGCCATTTATGATTCTTGATCTCGACCTCCAAGTCGCTGCTTTCTTTGCATTTCTAAATTCACAGTCTTCTCCCATGTACTGGCAGTAAGTATTGTTTCTCCCACACTAAGAGCCTGCAACCTGTTGAAATAAAAATGATGTACCTATTGGTTATTTTCAAGAATTTATTGGACTGATATTGAGAAATGTATTAGTTCTGCAAAAATGAAAATGATATTTACTGATGGTTTAGTAAATTTAATTTCCACAATTTTTTGAATTGAAGTCAATGTTTACATTCATTTATTCACTGTATGTGACATACTGTAGAAAGAAGTGTATTTTGTGCACCTTTTCTAAAACACTAGGATTCATATACAAGTTGAATTGTGAATACAGGTGGAAAGGTGCATTTTTGGCAAGACTTGAAAAGGAAATTTTCACTTTCATGTAAGAAAAACCTAATTGTAAAGGTAAACCAGCTGCAGATTTTAGCTTTTATTTTTCATTGTGCTCTTCATGAAGGCAACTGTCACAAGAACATAGAGAATGATAATTCGAATAACTATATTCCCGACTACCTGTCATGGCTGGCTCTTGGTCGCATGCTTGCTTTCCACTACGTGACCCTGGGTTCGATTTCTGGTCAGACAAGATTATAGTATGCATTTTCCTTGGAAGGTCCCATTATATGTTGCTGTGTGACGATGAGAAAATTCACTTCTCAGGTTGAGAAGACTGGGGTACGGTGTAAGGATGTCTATTTGCTAACCACAAGTACCCCCTTAACCAATGGCCGTGAGGCAGGGAAGTCACCAGTAGGCCTGTGCCCATACACGGGCTGTCGCACTAAGTACATACATATATATTCCGACCAAACTCTACAAAACCTGCTCATGTAGTGAAGTGCCATTAATATCCAGAAGGAAAACAAGGGGCCATCTCAGCATTTGCTCATTAAACATTAAAATTCAACCTTCCTTGAAGAATTTTTTTGAATGATAAGCTTCACTCTTTGGCATTCAAGGCTGTATTCCATTTTGTTAGTAGTGTCCTAAGTATTGGAAAAGGGAGAAGCGGGGGCAGGGGGGATGGTCGCTCCCAGTCCACACTTCTTGTATACAGACTAGATCTCTGAAAATCTGCGAACACATCAACCCACCCGTCCGTATTAGAAAAGCGTGGGTCCAATCCAACCACATTCATCAGGTTGCCAATATGGCACGGGTCATGTGAATCATTGGGATTTTTGATAGAGAAAGATTAGAAGGGATTCTGTTCAAGATTGTAAAATTGTTTATAATAAGTTTGTAGTGGAACAAAACAAAAAATTGAGGAAAGGCCTTCAGGGTTTCCCCGAGATGTTTCACTGCATACTTAATAGATGCTGTTCATACATTACCATGGTGCTTAATTTATTTAAATCATTATATTTTATATTTTGAAGTATTTTTAAAATTATTTATTTATATTATTTAAATAAGTGGAATAAAAAATCTAAATTGTTTCTTTTTTGTTTAAGCAATAACACAATTTCTTTAAAAAAAGGACAAAGGACAAAAAAGACAGAATAGATAGAAATGATACGGTCAAATTTAAGCAAAATTATCTTATTTTGTTATAGTAAACTCAAAATCATGGTAAGGATATTTGTTCTGAGAAATTCGATGAATTTGCAATGCCGTATCTCACATTACCAGGCTTTCATCTGGATGTAACATACAATACCACTTGAATGAGCCTATGTTAAAATCTACTAAGACCATTGGCGTTCCCCTCCATCTGAGGCCCTGGCTAAGAGATTACGGAGTTCCCTTTTTTTTCTAGAATATGTACTTCCTCTCCCCTTCAACCTTTTTTGTTTGCGAGAATGAGAAAATATGCAGCAAATGACCACCTGTAGTTCCAACCTGGCACCTTTTGTCCCTTCATCCCTTCTGTCCTTTTCGAAAATAAATCATGTTATTCATTAAATACAAATAACAATTTAGAACAATTTTTTATTTTTTCACTTATTTAAAAAATAATATGCAATGATTTAAATAAATTATGCAAAATGGTAACACACTAATGGCATCTAGTAGGTACACAGAGAAAGGAGAAATCCCATACGGCCTTTCCTTGATTTTTTGTTTCATTCTTCTACTTTCCTGTTCCATTTATTAAGTGATAAATAAATAGACAATTTTACAATCATAAACAAAATCTCTTCTATTCTTCTTCATCAACAATCACAATAATACATGTTTTACAAGGGAGGCTCAAATGAATGCAGATGGGTTTGATCCATTAGAATACCCACAAATACGGGTCTGGGTACATGCATGACTTGTAAAACTCCAATAGCTCTAGTACATATGCTCTCATTTCTATTTCAAATATGCTTCTCATTTCTTTTGACAGTCATTTAACATAACAATTTGCTGATCTAACTTGTGTAGAAGGTTGTGGTAGGAATCTCCTTGGGTCAGAGTTGTGGTTTTAAACCGAGCAGTAAGCATGGATATTTTGACCTTGTAATAGTACAATGGTACACCAGTGCTGATAACCAAATTGCTTAACTGTGCTTTGTGAAGTCACAAAAGTTCAAAACACCATGGATTCCTGGTCAGGTGTCCCTTTGATTACGAATGGTGATGAGCCCCTGGCTGAAGGGATAAAAGGCACTTCTGTGATGTGACAAAAAGACAAAATAAGTTAGCGGAAGATTACTCCACATTCGCTCAATGCCCAAGGAGGGCACTGTTGTATGTGTGTATACCTATCCATATTTGTTGCATCTTCACAACACACTCTTATCCCTTCTATCATACATATAAGTAGACAATGGCAAAATTCTGCATATTTCATATAATCTAATTTATTCGCAACTTACCTCGCCAAAACAATTAAATTGTGTAAATCCTCAGCACTTGCATTAAAATTACTATCTTGTCTGAGTTTTACAAAATCATTTTGAATAATCTGTAATTGATAAAATAAAATAATAACAACACTTTGTCTTAAATACACAAAATAAAGGAGAAAACATGCATTTTCAAATGTTTACTGGACTACCTGTTGCATTTCTGAATTTATATCACATTTGGCTGATTGTACACAAAGAATGTAAGCTCGGAGGCGCTGTAACACAGGCTGCAAGTAACTATGAGCAGCCTGGAAGATGTCAGGAACGTTTTCTAGACACACTGCATCGGGTCTCAGGGGGATAACAATTGGACACTGAACAAAAAGCAAAAATAAATTTTTCAGTAGAAAGAATGATTCAACACGCAAACAAAGATATTTTTATATTATTTAAAATCAATAGGACTGTTTAAGAAAACATGTAAAATAAATATATACACATGACCACATTATCTTTGTTTCACTCGTTGTAAGTTTTCTGTTAAAATAAGAACTTCGCAATGCAACAATGACAAGTTTAAAGTGATATTTCTACTTTGACATTTGTCACATCTTTCTGTATCCCATCATACTGTTTTAAAATCCTTGACGTCATTTAACTAAGATATTCATTATTTTAATCTTGAAAAATAATTACGTACTTTAGAAAAAAGAATTAACAATATCATGTTTGGTAAACCAAACTAATAAAATACCAATTTTAAAAGAATTAGTCTTGGCTCCAGGTTTTATGTTTTCTTTTTTACTTACTGGAATTAAAGATTTTCCTTCAGAAAATACCAGCACTGGAATGTCACAATTAAAATCAAGTTGGTAATACTCAAAGTCATAGGCCACCTTCTGTTCCAGAACAAGTTTTCTTAAAGCTGTCATATTAACAACACCTAATGAATGGAAGTTTACAGTATTACAATTTTGAAACCAACATCCTTGTAAAAATGAAAGCATTTTAGAATGCCCTTTTCCATTAATACTTACCAGGAGCTTCCAGTTTTCCGGGCTGCATTTGTGTCTCATCAAGAACCAAATGAGTGTGGGGGCTTAATTGAAGCAACCCTTCAGAAAGCTGTTCTGTTTCATAGTTTTTTCTAAAGAAATGAAACAAGGAAATAATATATACCATGATAACAATTGTGGTATGTGGACATGTACATATGCATTCACCAGTAGACATGGGCTGACAATTTGCACAAAATTAAAACAAAAAATGTAACTTCAGATTGTATTCACTTCCAAGAACAATGTTTTGTTCTAATGCATAAAACATCACTAAGACATAATCATACGTCTTTCCAATGGAAAGTACCCTAAATATTTTAGAAGCTTTTATAGGAAATTTAGAGACAATGTATTCATTTTACACCAAGCAAGTTAAGAAATATACTGTAAACAGCTATCTTCTCTACTATTTTGGAAAGTATGTGAAAGGAGTTCTAGACACTCAAATCAGATTAAACTGTAAACACTTGCAAAATCTATTAGGTGTTTTGCATTGATGTAGAGAATGAGCAGAGAGATGGATACCTACACATGAAGTATGCATAAGAGTTTTTAAATGGTTTTTCAGTCCCTTTTTTAATTTAGGAACACTACAATGAGTACTTCCAATTCTTTTTATCATAATTTGTATGAAATCTTTCATTGTATAAAATCCCTAACAGAATAGCAGGATGTGTCCATTCATTATTTAATTCCTGATTTTTGTCACCCTATAATAATAAAAAAATATTATATAATATAACAGAGATGCAACACTCACTTTGGGTTGAATCTTCTTCTGTTCAAATTTTCAAGAGTCAAAGGTAAAAACAAGCTTTTCATAACTAACTGCTCTATTGCAGAGTAAATATTTTTAACTAAGTTATATTTTGGAATATTGATGATATTGAGAGGGAGCTGACCCAATGCCATCATATCAGTTCTTGAGTAGCTAAACAGAAGAAAACAAAAATTATATACTGTGGAAACTGTGATAATTATTACAAATGCTAGTTATTGTCAACACAAAAATTATTTCCAAAGTCCTAATGTATAAATACAATGTTTTTAATAAAATATGTGTGACTGGGAAAGGAGTAAAAGCAATTTAAATAATACAGTGAAGACTATCTCTTTAAACAACCGATTTTTTGTGGAACAGACACTGGTATGCATACATAGTAGCAATTTTCTTAATTTGCCCGTTTTAAGACACCACTTGTAGGAAAATTTTAAGAACCGAGAACATCACAAGTAGGAAACTAGTGATGCCACAGAACGGCAAACACTTTCTCAAACCAGTTAGTTTTCTTACCTCTTAAGTCTGTGCTACCTTTTTGGTTTTGTCCTACCCACTTCTCATCGTGAACAAATCACCGCTATTAACAATGTGAGGTACACATCTAAAAATTACATTTGTGTAATTTTTGAAAAACAAAAGAATATAGCAATATGACGTGTATGTCATCTCATAGAGTACATTTAGCACTATCCCTCACAAAAGTTTAAAGAAAACATTTGGGCCAATTTTTGAGAAAATCTTGTTTTTTTAATTTTTTTTTTTTTTAAATTGCAAATATTGCACATAATATTGTGGGAAAAATACTAAGTTTCAAAAAGATGTACATGACCTTAATGAAAGAACAAATTATACATAACAACAAATTTATTTTGAACAAAAAAACCCCTTCTTCAATTTTTGTAGTTGTAGGAAGACGCTGAAAACTATTCATCCTTTTGAAATTTTTGAAAATTGAAAGTTAACCGTGAAAATTGGACCAATGCCACTTTTAAAAGTGTATGTTACTCTATTCTTGCAAGAAATTTGAAGAAAATATTTGTAGTTGTTTTGACAAAATTTTGAAAATGTCCGGAGGGTTTCATGTAAAGTACCCTCAAATTTCAAAGAATGTTTTTCAAAATCTCAGCTTTGACTTGAGCCAGATGGTCAGGGGTTACTTCAATTTGGAAAAAATTCTATGCATGGTTTAGACACTAATAGTGATCAAGACAGACAGACATGTATGTTTTGCCTCCAATTGATATTCCGGTATCAAGGATCCACAAAACAGGGAGGCTGGCTACACCACATGTTAGAGGATTTTCTCTCTCTTAATTTAGCAACTAGATTATAATTGGAAGAAAAATCTCTATCTTCAATACTATACTTTCAGGAAGACACTGAATATAATTTTAACTTGTAAATTGTAATTTTTGAAAATTTAGATATTTCAATGAAACTGAGAGCTCTTCCATTTTTTTAAAGTATCCTTTATGCTATCCATGGACAAATTTTGAAAACATTTTTAAGAAAAAATTGAAAAAGTCCTTGAGGTTTGAAGTACAGTACCCCCCAAAAAATTAACACAAGTTTCAAAATTCATGTAGCCACATCAGCCAAATTGAGTGAGAAACCTCAATTTGGATGAAAATCTTACTTATGGTTTAGCCACTAATGTTGTTCATGGATGGTTTGCAATAAACCAATTTTTCAGTATCAAGGAACCAAAATCAAGGTATTTGACTTTAAATACTTTTGTGTTAGAAGATGCAGCTTACTACAGACAGGAACAAGAATTATCCCCTTTTCTAATATAAGGGGTTTAAAATATGATTTTTTCTGATGAAATATTACTGTGTCTGTACCATTACATAACATTTTCTATACTACACTTATGAAAAATTAAAAGATGTATTCAATCTCCCTTTTCCATTGCAACTTTTGTTTTTTTTAAAGTTTTTATCATTCTGATCAACAATTTTCAAGTCAATTAGACAGTTAGAAATTTTATTTTGACTAAATTGCAAGAATTAGTTGTGTGTGTGTGTTTTTTCTTCTTTTCAAATTCACAAGAGGCCTCTTTAAAATTACGGGTCATCTTATATTCGGTTAATATGGTTCATTCAATGGATTAATACTTTCTCATCAAAGATTGTAATTCACAGGTTGAAACGCCATTGACTATCTATGTAATGTATTTTCCTGTATGTAGCATTTGCCTAAAAATTTGACACCTACTTATGAAACACTGTCCTATAATAGAATGGATTGTCCAAATAAACCAAGAGGAATTTAGATGCCACATGAAAAAGTAAGCATAATCATAATTACAATAGTGTATGCATAAGCAATGTTTGACACTTAAAAATGCCAAGTGCATAAACATTTGGACAGTATTAAGCACAGCATAGCACAGACAGCACTAAGCGTGTAATCTTCCCAAGGGTCATCACTTGGGAACAGAAAAGCTTTTCTCTCATATCACCAGTTCCGATAGGCTGCACTGAAGTATTCTGCCATCAGGGGGGACATCATAATTCTTAGCAAGAATAGTCTTATGATTTCAAGAGTGGTATATCTCACATGACTTGTATCAAAATACAACTGCCTTTCAGAGGTTTGAAAGGAATTTTGAATCACCCTCCATTTCCATAATGTATTAGTTTTTTCAGACTTTTCAAAATGTTGCTTAACAGATATTTTCTGCTGCACGCCCCCAGCCCTGTTACATTTTCATCGACTGTGATTCAAAACACACACTTACATTGATGACAGAAGGTGACATACTAGGTAATCAGCTGCTAATTTATCACCAAGAAGAAGTTGAGAGAAAATAAAATGAAGATCGTTTCTGGATGCGGTGAAATCTGCTACAGGATCTGAATCAAACAGTGTTGTGTAGAACACATACAGTAATAATACAAATTTATATATTGCATTTACAATATTTTTGGACTTTCGATGTTTCAAGTCTTAAAATAAATGTTTTATTTCAAATGAATAATGTAAATTTTATTACCACCTCAAGCGTAGGCATAATTATTTAAGTAACATAATACATAGAAGTCCACATGGTTTTTCGTGGTTACTTTTGATTTTTCACTAAAGATAAAAACTATGACATTTCTGGACATTTTACATACTCAACGATAATAGAGGCAGCAGAGATGAATGTTGGAGTTTCTTGCACGCTACAACATGTAATCGAGGTAGTTTTGCATTGTGCAAGGTTAACTCTTGATCATCAATCTCATCGATGATTTCAGGTAATGACAGAAAACCAGCAACTTCTATTACATCGTTTACAACAAAAGAACTAGTGTCAACATCATAAAGCTGAAACAAGATTAATAATTAATTAATGTTTAGATATACAAATGTCAACATTCAGAGGAATTACTCAAGAGTGAAAGAAAAAATTTAAATAAGCAAGCAATATTAAGAAAAAATTCAAATCACTACAAAGATTTGAAAAAAAAAACTTAAATGAGATGAATAGAAGTACTTTTAGGCAATATGTGAATGTTGAATTCAAATTTCTTTTCTTTTACAAATTCTGCAAATATACAAAACAGAAAATTTACCTTCAAACAACAAGTCCTGCAATGAGTTTCAGAGGCATTCAAATGTAGGAAGTTAGAGGTTTGGGCACTAGATTGATCTGAAGGTTGCATTATACTCATAGCTCTTTTCTGAGGGTCATCCTCTTCTGATCTGCCAAGGTGCCTTTTCATGTAGGGTTTCTTCCAGCTCTGGGTTATTAAGAAATATATCCTTTGTGTTTAGTCATGCATCTGTCATCTCATATTATTCCTCAGTTTTCATTTTAAATAATTCACATTGTGACAATGGTTAATGATGAAAAGAAAAATTCATATAAAAGCATCCAAAACTTCATTATAAACCAGTCCCTTCTTACCCAACTATAAGATTTTGAATTTTTGCTTTTTAGATGCAACACAATACAATAGGAAATAATGGGATCTGAAGAGCAATAAAGTATGCAAATGAGATAAGTGGGTTTACTTTCCATCTGAGATTATGCAAAATGTATTAAAGATCATTATATTATGTGCTAATTACAAATAAATTGATACAGAATATGCCCTCTTTACTCATGAGTAACAACAGAAAGGCAACCAAATTCAGGGACCTGGGCTTACTTGTGAATCACCATCTTGTCACCTTTTTATAGACTTTTATATATGACGCATACATGTTGCTGTTACTAAATTATTATTCATGATGCCATTTAATTGCTGTAATAATAATAATACACACATTTTTGCAAATGCTATGTCAACCACGGTAATATAAATAAAGAAATAATAATACTAATAATAATAATGGCCGACCCCATGGCACAAGCAGTTGCAGCAGCCATCTTTAGCGCCAAAGGGGCTGCAGGTTCGAGACCTGCTTAGGCTTGGTTGTATTTACGATTGTCCCTTTACCCTTCATAATTCATAAATTATGTTTTAACGACCTTGCCTTACCAAGGAATACAACCAAAATGCTGATACCCATATAGACACACATGAATCTCTCTAGAATATGACTAGCCCTTGAAAAAGAACGTGTAATATGGTCAGAAATGGCGAATATGCAAATAATAATAATAATAATAATAATAATAATAATAATAATAATAATGTATCAGCTCAAAGAACTTGTTAATAGCTAGTTTTGGACCATTGTCAGAAGTATGTAAATATTTCAAATCATTCTTATTCACTATCTATAATACTTGTACATTTTCGTACCTTTTCTATACATTCTTGTAAAGTTTATTTTTGTCCCATTCACTATGTGGTTATTAGCAACTATTTATGTTATAATACATCAATTAATCAATAAATAATACATTATACTTTCTGGAGAATCTCTAGAACAAATGAAGGATTTTATAGTTGTCTGGCTGGCATATTGATGACAAACTTGACCCAATGAGTGAGCAATCCTATTGTCTGTTTCTTACAACATCATTCAAACAACAAGAATATAATGAGCTCTCAGTTAACTTTTGCTTGCTTTTATTCACAGTGTTTAGAAATTTCACTATCTTCAGAGAAAGAAACATTCACGTTATGAGTTGTAGTAGACCATAATTTGAATGTACTAATATTGTGCTTAAGTTCTGGAACGAATGAATTATTCATTACACTCCTTTATAAAAGAAAAACTTATTTACATTTCGAAATTTCAAATCAAAACTACAATTACACGTTTAAAGCAAATATTCTTTTCTCTAACTTGAATCATTTACAAATCTACTAAATGATTTACTATAAAGGATTAGAAGAATTTGTGTGATTCTGAAACAATTGTTAATAAAGTTGGACTTCAATTTTGTTTCCAGCGTTTTAAGAACAATAAATGCAGTTTTCCCTTCAATAAGTTGATGATGTTCACAATTACATGGAAGATAATGAACTAAATTGGTTTATCTTAAACTTATTAGAAAAACCAATTTAATAAAATGCATTTTTTATAAACATCCTGGCTTCATTCCCTTGCACTGTCACACCCAAGGAGAAACATTATATATCAATTAGGAAATTGTCTGTACTATCTTATATATTGGTAATTGAATTTTGGCAATGTTTTTTTAACGACAGATAGTTTTTAGAACATAAAATGTTTATTAAATCTTCAGAGCAGTAACACCACAAAAAGTTTTATGTTACTCAGAGCGATGTTTCAGGAAATTCATTTTTCCCGATCTCTAGGCAATTCAACCTACAGATAAAAAACAAACAGTGAAATAAATATATATACAAATTTTCAGTAGACTGTGCAAAGCATGTAGAAAGGCTGTTACAAAGAGTACAACATTAAAACAAGTAAAAAACTGCCTGTCATAAAAACTCTTTGACCAAATTTCAATTAAGAATGTAGAACATTATTAATATTAACTATACATCAACAAATAATATACAAATTATATTTATATATTTTCTATTATTATATAATTAATAAATTTATATTTCCGCATATAATCTAATGGAAAGCATTAAAACATACTCCACTTTTGCATTCCATCCTTTCATGTGAAGTAAACAAATTTTTGTTGAAAACCTTCTCAGTTTCTCTTTCAACTTGATAAAAACATTTCACACAACTAAATAAATGCAATAGTGAAAATATTCATACTGTATTTTGTAAATTAGTAATCTAAACATTTCAAAAATAATTATTAACTTATTTCATTGTATTAAAAGGTATTTTGATGGAAGGATACACATGAAACCCAATTATTGAGCGCAGGAATTGGAATGCACAACCACGTGTCTCTTGACTCGCATACACTATGTTGTGAATCTTCAATAAGCTTCTCATTATCCTGAAAAGTGAATAAAACGCAATAAAATATGTTAACTACTATCTCAAGCATTCCCAACATCATCAAAAGTATTTGGTAGAAACTATCCCATAGAACTACTTAGTACAAACTAACCTGACCCTCATAGTTTCTGGAAATTAGGTACTTTGAATCTAAAAGGACCCCTGTAAAAAGTTTACTTGCAATATATTAATTATCAGTTATTAATTTACAAAATACTGATCCAGGGACACAGGGGCTTGGGGTGCATATGCCAAAGTATGAGGTCACCAGGTCTGAAAGTTAAAATCCCCATGGAGGTTTTCAGCTGAGTTTGTGGCTTGGGGTCTTTTCTCATATTAGTCCTGAAACTTGTTCCCTATCTTGTCGCTAGGCCTGACCCAGACTCTTAAGGTGTCTGCCACAATTTATCTCTAATGGCATTCTCATACAGTAAAAAGGAACAAGTACAAAGGTGGACTCATTGGATCCTTTGGACAATTAAGTCAAGTTGGCCCAACTTCTGAGGCCAAAGCCCTATCTGAAGGCTTGGGGGTAAAGTGGGAGCTTACACTGGGTAGGTTGGCAGCTGGAAAGTTACTTAAGGTGCTAACGTAAGTCAGTCAGTACCCAATGAGGCAATTTAAGAAGTATTCTTGACACTACACAACGATACATATCTATTTACAGTAATTTAAGAAATATATACATAAAGAGAGAATGCTATAATTAATATTTTCAGATTGATTTGCCTCCTTCAAATCTAAAAATTATGATTACTAATGACTATCATGTCTCTGAATCCTTGTTAGATGTTGAGAGCAACTTAAAACTAGCAGAAACAAACCACACACTAGGCATCTAGTTATTTCAGCACATAGCTGAGCAGTTCAACAATTACCCATATGGCAAAATTACAATACACGAGGTGAATGGTTCACAGTTACACCACCACTCAGAAATTTCTTGCTTTCATTTACAGTGTATAGAAATTAGCCAATTCTTATTGCATTAAGTAGATAAGCTTTATTAATTTCAGTGCAAGAACTATTCATGATTTTAGAGGAAGAATATTCAATGAGAGAAAAGGCATCCCCGTTCTTTGAATAAGAAGCTATAATCAAAGTTTCTAGGATAGGATACCTAGAATGCAGAAGTCACAGCTACTAGATTATACAAAAAACATGTAGCAATATTAAAAAAAAAAAAAAAAAAAAAAAAGCAGCAATGAACAGTGTTCCATTGAAAACAAATTCAATTGACAGTTTTATAAATATCAGAATGAAATTCTTAAAGTGGTTTGCAGCATCATCGTGACTAAGACAGGTTTGCTAACCTGAGGGACCTGGGTTCAAACCCCAGCAGAGCTGAGGATCTCTAAATCATTCATCATTCAGAGAGGTCCTAAGGTCCTCTCAGCCTTCTTTCAAATATTTTCTGGCTTTATTAACAGTACAGATATCTGTCACATGGATCTGGAAGTGGGTAGTTACCAGCAAAAGTTGAAAGACAGAATTCCTAACATTCTTGAACCCTAAGCAGGTACATTACTAAAGATCAATTCTCAAAACCTGAGCTACTCTATTCTCAGAAGCTAACTATGATATAAAGCTGAAGTCATCAATATCCTGTAAATACCTGACATGTGACAGAATCACGCAGCTTGCCAGAATGCACAGTAGATACTCCAGTAACAGTATTCACAACTTCATATTTACTCATAAAATATTCTGGATTTTGCATATTTTGAATCATTCCTCTGAATCGTATTAACTGCTGATTCTTGACATTTTCAGAGAGGATGTAATTGAATAATGGAATCTGAAAAAATGACAATTATTATTTAAGCAACTAAATAGTTTAAAAAACATAGCAACTGGGGACGACTCTCAATAGGTCTTTGGTGAGACTTAATTTAACTTGTGTCAATTTCTACTTTCGGCTGTTATTGATATTAAATTAAATTTAAAAAAGGATCAACAGCATTCGTAGCAATTAAAAGGGTTTTTGAACACATTGAAGAGACTAAAGATCTTCAAAAACTGAATAAACGAAAACCAGATTTCGTGAAAATTACCGAATGCCAATTTGTTTCGTCTTCTATAATCGCTGAATATTGTGGAGTGTTTGCAACCCATTCTTCTCTTGTGACACATCGTAAAGGCAGGGCTAGAACAAGCAATATATCACTGACATTTCCCAGACAGTATATAATAATAAAAAATATTAATGTACATTACAAATAATGACATACATGTCAAATCGTCGAGACAAATTTCCATTGTGTTGGCAATTTCAACCAACTTCTTTAAATACTACTTTATCCTTTTATCACTGAAAAAACAACATATACAACAACGCAATTCTATAGAACTAAAACACAAAACTAAAATCAATACACTGTCAATACTTGTTAGGCACTTGCACGCAATTGCTGAATCGGGTATATAACACAATGTAACATACGAACACGTTTTTTGGAGCAACCCACAATTGGCGGGAAAATGTACTCCCAACTTTGACGGATAACGTGAGTCTCTTAGAGTGCAAATACACTACTAGGAGCGCTACTATCGCATAATAATTTCACTTTCAGGACACTCAAGTGGTAATCAGAATGAACATGAACACTAGGCGCGTAGATTTAAATTTCATTTTTACTGGAACATTTACAATTCTCACAGCAAGAGGTGAATGTGCAGTGATTGTGTAACTAATTGAATTGTAAGCCAGTTATAAATGCAATTTTATTACTGAAAATTAAGTTTCATTAACAAAAAAGTGTAATAACTGCGAAAATAAACATTAATTGGCGGCTACTACTCCGTAAGTACGCCTTGGAAAATTCTAGTGAGCTATATTACACCAAAAGTAAATTGAGATATATTGAGCTTCGTGTTTCACCTGATGGATAGAATGTGAGCACAATGTATGATTTTTTAAGTTTGATTTTTTATTCTTAACATATTAACAGAAAGATAATAAGCAACAAACTATCGTTCGTCATGGATACAAGACTGCCGGATGCCCATTTTGGATTCAGACCAGGTCGCTCCACCTCACAGGCCACTAAAACGTACTGAATAAAATTGAAATATCGCTAAATAAACCTAAAGGAAGAATGTATGCAATCTTTGTGGACCTCACTAAAGCTTTTGATCTCCTCATCAGAGAAAAACTTATATTTGGTAAATTATAAGTGTTGTCTGGTATCAACAATTTATTTTGCTATATCACTTCGATCGCGTAGCGATCATCCTCAGAGCTACAATTAGAATTATCGAAATAAAATTATATTAATATATGAATTATAAAAATAGGGATAAGTTAATACAAAATATTATTTACAAAATGCAGACATTGTATACCAGATGCGTAAGCAAACTGGGTCCTACATACCTTGCAGCTTCTGGGCCGAAAACAAAGTTCTGCGTTTTTTTTACTAAATAAATCTAATCTAATCTAGGCAACCATTCTTAACCGAACCGAACGAACTTTCGTCCTAGAAGATTCTAGAATCAGTTCAAAATCTAATCTGTGATATGTTATTATTTCTCCACTCAGTAGCCTCTGATGAGTAGAGAATCTTTGTGACACATGTGTACCAACACAAATCAGTTCGGAAGTGGACATCATGCGAAACACACGTGTCTCATTCGTACTCACAGAGCTCCGTGTTAGATATGCACGAAAATTCTTCGTAATAATCTTACAAGTTTCGAAGCCTCGTAATGAGCAGCAATTAATTGTACAAACTCAACTATTAGTTTGTGTCACCTGAGTTAAATACAGCAGTGTATGCCGCCTCAGATTTGAACGAAGCACCAGCTTCACATAGATCTGGAATGTTCCGTAGGGAAATATCACTGTGGTAAGTGTAACTAAACTGAACTGTGTAACAAGTGCAATAATTCAACTGTGTATTTATGTATTACTGCCAGTGCAGTGACTAAGAATAAATTTGTTTGTGCAATACTTTGTTTCTGTGAAACCGGAAACCATCCTGTAATCCTGCGTGCCATCAAAGGGATTCGAAGACTGCTCCGCTTCAATTAATTTTTTAAACCATACAGTCCACTTCAAATAAGTGAAGTAGCCTCGAACAGCTGCGATGTCAGAGAGAATATAGAAGAGAAACCTACTAGACGAAGAATTCTATTTCTCGGATTCCACGACACTCAGAGGCTGGAAGGAACCCAGTAAAGAAATGCGTTATGTCTACACTAGACTGGCGGTCCATGGCTACCAACTGTGCAAGAGGGAATACTTCCACTAAACTGACAGTGAACGCATGAGCAAACTCTGTGAAACGACATGTCCAAGATATCAAATAACATCCTGTCCAAAAATATACAAAACTTGGCAGAATTTAGGGACAATAAGCGCGTGTAACGAGGCCCAATAAGTGCTACGTAACTTAATTCAACTGATTAGATTAGATTCATTAATAATTAATAATTCTGCAATTAAGTTTGAGAACTTGGTGGCAGAATACACTAACTTAACATTGCAGAACTTAACTTTACAAAATCTACAAACTTTACAAATTAACGTGAACATTTCACCGTGCAATATTTCATAGCACTCCACTTCACCGCACTGCGAAACTCCGAGCTGTAATGTCTTTCTTACACACTCCCTCAGTTTCAACGCCACTGCACTGCACATAATTAATAATAATAATAATAATAATAATAATAATAATAATGATGATGATAATGATAATAATGATAATAATAACGATAATAATACTTAATTATATAGAAGACATAGTAACTATAGGCCGGTAAGCCTTCAGTTTAAGTAACTAAGTATTGTCTTGTCGCCACTTTTAAAAATATGTACTACAAGAGCCAGCTTCCAATCTTCCGGCACGCAAGCGTTGTTTATTGATACATTAAATAACCTAATTAAATATGGTAGAATTACCTCTCCACCTAATTTAATGATGTCCGTGGAAATACAATCTGTACCTCGTGATTTTCCTCTCTTCATTAATTTTATTCTTTTCTGCAAAGTATTTACATCAATATGAATACTACTTCTATCTGCCAGCGTTGGTATCTGAATACTGTAAGGTTTCTGCTTGAAAACCGAGCTGAAATGTGCGTTAAACGCCTGTGCTTTTTTCCTGTCGTCCATTATTGGCGAATTTTTAACACGCTATTGCGTGCTATTGTCATTATTATATTAGCCAAAAATTAATCCAACTCTTGTAAGTCTTTAGCTACGTGAGTAACTATAAGTCGTAAGTGATAAATTTGAAATGAATCTAATACCATTAAGAATTCAGTATAATAAACATTCATACTTAGTGTGTGTTTAAATAGCTACATAAAATTTACTTCTATTACGTTTAAAATAGTGTAAAAGTCATTTGTTGTAAAAGAACATCTAGAAGAATATGAAAAATCATAATAATTTGTGTTTTGTACCAAAAATAAATATGTTTTTTATAAGAGTAATTTACGAAACAAATATCATAAGACGAATTTTGTAAGTGGTTATATTGACATTTGAACAATTCAAAAAAATCAATGGGCAACAAGGGAGGTATTTTCGTGATATGTGTAGATATTTTCATGACAGGATAATTAAAAAATTCCGTGATAGATAAGGCATGACTGTTCATAACAAGCAGTTGGAACTAGTACTCGAAAACGCCGAAACAAAATTAAATTTTGGCAACTTTCGAAAATTGAGAGTTTTTAACGAAAATGAGACCTGTGGCCCTTTACACTATCTAACAACAAAATTTATTCAAACCGATGGAATCACTTTTTTTTGAGTTTTGAAATCGTCCCAAGACCTTCAAGTACAGTATCTCTCAAAATTAATATATTGGTATCAAATTCAAGGGGTCGTGACTTCAGTTTGGGGAATATCAATTTTAGAGAAAATCAGCTGAATGGTTTAGTCGCTAGCGTTGTTCACAGACGGACAGGCAGACGGACACATTCTGTAGTCATTTGATTTTTCGGTTTCAAGGATCCACAAAACATGAATTCTGACTACTCCATGTGTTAGAGGAATTTTTCTAAATGTTGCAACTGGATTTATCCAGCACTTTTGCTTTATCAGGGCCCTGTAAAAAGAGTTTTCTGTTGATATTTCGCCATTTTTTCCACTCAACATTACATAATTTTCTTTTTGTTGCGAAAACGGTAGCGAGAAAGTGACTAGGAGTGCAAAAACAATAAGTACTTTCTCTCTCGTGATTTGACGCTAAGTTACGCGAAAAGTACTCAAATTTTCGAAAATTTGTACATGACCTTATTTCAAAATAGATCTTTAAAGAAAAATTTCATTAAGGGAAAAATCTCCATCTTTGTTGCTGAAAGATTCCGAAAAAACTTGAAACTTCCGCTATTTTCGAAAAATCAGGCTTTTCAACGAACATGAAACCTGCTCCACTCCACTATTCAACAATAAATTTAATAAAAAACGATGGAGTAATTTTTTTGAAAATTTGGAAAATGTCCCAGAGGTTTTATGTAAAGTATACCCCAATATTAAAATTTCGATTTCAAATTCAAGGGGTCGTAGCATCAGTCAGATCTGTTAGGGAATATCATTTTTTGAGAAAATAGGCTGAACGGTTTAGTTGCTAGCGTTATTCCCAGGCGGTCAGCCAGACGGACCGACGTTTTGCCGTCATTCGATTTTTCAGTGTCAAGGACCCCCAAAACATGAATTCTGGTTACACCACGCGTTAGAGATTTTTTTTTCTAAATTTAGCAACTGTATTTATACCCTTTTCAATACTAGGGCCCTGTAATAAAGATTTTTTCTGCCAAAAATACGCTTTTTTTCACGCAGCATTATATAACCTCTCTCCTCCGTAGGGAGAAAACAAAAATAAGCGATGATTTCTAGATTTGCCGTAGATGCTCTGTGAGCTGAGAGGTTTTCGTTTGCCCTCAGATTTCAATTCAAATCAATTCAATTATTTCATATTTTACGTGGTGAGGCACATATTTTTCTATTAATATTTTATCGGATTCAGAAATGCACGCGTACAAAAATGTCGAAAATTAACAGTTTTTCTACAACTTCAGCTTCCTACAACTGAAATATTAAAGATAGAGATTTTTCTTCTGAATGAAATATGTTCGTCAAAATTACATCTTTAAACAGATACAATTTCTTTTGAAAATATACGCGTTATTCAATTTTGCTTCAAATAAAGGCTAAAAAATCCAATTTTTTCAATAAACGTTTTGATTCAACAGAACTCAATGCACTGAATAATGATATGACCTTTGAAAAAAAAAACTATGTTGATCAAGTATTATGCTAAACATAACCGAGAATGTGCGTGCTGCTGTTTCTCCAAAACTAGGGATGCTTGGGCTCTAAAAGAGCGAATTAAGCTTTTTCAAACAAAGCAAGTCTGATTTTCATTAAGACCCCCGGCGAGGGGAAGGAAGTGTGGGGTGTGGAATGAGGAGAGTTCGCGGAAATGCCGGAGCGAGTAATGGGGTGGAAGAGGAGGAGCGGAAGTAGGGGAAGGAGGAGGAGTGTTTGGAACGGACGGGGAAGAGT